CCTATTTCACGTTTATTTCCGGCACAGACTTCGTTGATGTAGACAAAGATTCCTGCAAGCTGGAAAAAAAAGCTGGAAAAAAGAAGGCATCTTTCAGCACATTGTCAGAAATTTTAGAGATAGAATCAGACATTTGCTATCACTGCAAATATCTCTACACTATAAGAATGGGGGATTCAGTCAGGTTTCCAATATTTGCAATGCAGTAGCCAGAGAAACATATTGGTAGCCTGGGGTGTCATGAATTTCTAGACCTGCTTACATAAGATAGACGTGAAAGGCATCTGTATTTGAAATTAAAGCCACGTAAGGTTAGTGCACTAAACAGAACAAGGCAGAGTAATACTGTACTGTAAGTGAGAGAACTGCAGAACCCAGATAGAGCTATAAAAGGCTGAGTTTATGTTCTCTGAACGAGACCCATATTTCAATTGAGTGTTTTCGAATAAAACAGATGGACTATGACCCTCAACTTCTTGGGAAAGTTCAAAGCATTTTGAACACGTTTTTTCAAATTAGCAGCACTGAAAACACAACAAATCCATCACTCTGAAGACCATATTGCCATGGCAACTTATAAATTGATGCTGAATGCAGACTGATATTCAGCAATATTGAATCTTATAAAGGGAACATATGGAAAGGTAAAAGATTTCCATATTCACAGTGCTCTCTGGATAATATCTAAAACATCATACTGGTCAATTTCAATTAAGGTTACTACTTCACTACCAGAGTTCAACATTCACATGATTAACAAAAAAAAATCATATTAAATAAAGTGAGGAGCCAGAGTTGCACCATTTGGGGAAGAGAGTTTCAGGAATGTTTCAAAAAAGATGAAACAGATTAAAGGATTTACTCAGGTCGGCAGAGGTAATAACACAGCAATTTAGGTACAAAATGATTTTTTTTTCCAGGGAGAAGAGAATGTCAAAGTTGTGTAAGTTGTATTGAGTTAAAAGTCTTCAACCTCCCAATGCAACGTATTAACCTGGGCATGCTATCACACAATGGAAGAAACTGAACAGCATTTTAGGACCGAGCTACTTGCTATTTGGTACAAATCACCGTACGTGTACCTATATATAAGTACACTAGCCTGTCACTTATTCAAGAGGAAACCACAAGCTATCTTAGAAAGGTTTTCTCCATAACACCATATGTTCATTTGAAAAAAATCGTCAGGTCTTGTCATATTTCTTTTAATTATATTTCTAAGCCAGTATAATGCTACATTTAAAACAGCTCTCATCAGTATTTCCCAGAGCCATAATCCCATCACACAATCTGTAGATCCTTCAGGTAAACTTCTCGAGAGCAGATGTGTTATTGCTGTTATGAATATGAACTTGGAAGTCACTGGGAGATTAAAAAGGGAGATGCATTACTGATGTGCAGAGAATATAAAACCAACAGTAAGTCACCACTTACCTTTACAAGGCTAACATGTCATTCTGCATCTGCTTTACTTAAAACTCCCATGATTAGCAAAAGATGATTCATTTCATTTTCTCTTGGCAACACATAGCAACTCGGAAAACTCTGCCTTGGTTTCTAGCAAGTAAATCTTACTCTTGTTCCCTGTCCGCACACAGCCCATTGGAACTTGCTTATTTCGTAATTCAAGCATGCAGTTTCATTTGGCCTGTGGTTTTGTAAACTTATAATCATGACCTCTTTGTACTCTTCTCCTAATCTTCTTCACAGCTAGCACCTTTAGAATTTTAAAAACTTGATTCAAGTTTCCCCGCAATGTGTCCACTTACGCAAGGTAGTATCCCAGAGCACTTAACAAGCTACCCAAACTCATCAAAAATAGTAATAAAACTAAAATTACTTTTCATTGGTAGGGAAAAATTCATCAGAGGATTTTGGCACAAGAAGACACACCTGACGTACATTCCTACCTGCTGGTTCATCGAGTGGTGTCAGGGTCGTCATCAATGCCAAGGATGTATCTGCAGTTCTGCTTGATGTTGGAGGCAGATGTTTGCAGATACAAGATGCCAAAGGAGATTAGAGAGAAACAGCAGCTTGGCAATTAAGACACCCACTCCTCACATTCCTGTCATGAAGGATTTCAATCCCAAATGGCATACCGTTTTAATATGCCACTTGCAACAATCACATCAGACCATACGGTATTGATACTCTATATCCCAGGAGGTGGAAACAGGAAAGAGGGATAACGTGTGTGTGTGTGTGTGTGTGTGTGTTGTGTGTGGGGGGGAGGGGAAGATAAAGAGTGCAGAAACTTATTTGTTTTCTTTTTGGTAGAATGGTTAAATCTGATGGTTCTTTAAAACACAAGAGTATTTCAGCTTCATTTAAAAATGACTTACGCAGGGTTACATTGGTCGGGCTTAAATTATAATCAAATGCCTTGGAGATATATTCCAGTGCCTGATTAGCTTGGTAGAAATTTCACTGACTATCCTTTTAGAGTGAAGACCCATACCTTTGGTGTGGTGTGAATCCTCATTCATTGATAAATGAATCATAAAATGTGAACGTATGCATGTTCACATTTTATGGTTAAGTATGCTTAACCTTTATGGTTAAGTATGACATACAGCCATGATAAAACGCATCTACCATTCCTTCCTCAGCCTTTCCACTTAAGTTGTTCAAAAGCGCTTATGCTTTAGATCGCAGACTTGGTTTGAGATTGTACAAAATCCCTTCAGTGTAATTTTTTGGACCTCTGTAAACTGTTTAACAACATGGTTCAACAAGAGGAGTCATTATCATAAAGTGTGAGTAGTAGTTACGTTTACAAGAGTTCATTTTTCATTGACTCATTTTCTTCATTGGTTAATTGCCTGCATTAAATCCTATTGCTGATCAGGAATCTGCTAGTATCTCGTCTCAGTTGTGTGCTGGGAGGATGGCCCATGCAATCAGCCTGGCTCAGTTGGTATCACTCTCGCCTCTTGAGTCAGAAGATTACGTTACGAGTTGGGACTTGGAACTTGAAGTCTATGTTGACACTCCAATGCAGTATAGGAAGAGTGAAAGAAGCTTAGACATTTAAATGTGAAACTACAGTATTATACAATTGTTGCTTTCCAATCCCAATTACTGCTGAGAAACAGAATCTCTCCAAATCAGCCATCCTCCTCGGATAGCAGCAGGTATACATCTGCTATCCATGAACACGGTGGCTGAAAAACAAGGTTTTGATAACATTGGAAACAACAAACATTCTCTTTTACAATCGGAGGCACCCACTTGACATTTGGGAAGTTTCAAGTGGGTAGACAAGACACATTATTCCATAGTTTTATTCAGTTGCCCTATTCATATATCTTCACATTAAATAGAATTTCTTTTGATATTTCTTAAATAATTTGGTATCATGGTCCAAACATTCTGTGCGCACTTGCTTATTCAAACGTAAATGCAGATCAGGAATGGTGAGATTGTTCACAAGTTTAGCAGGATCTTGATTTAGTTCAGCAAAGGCAAGAAGCAGCAACGTATAGCATGAAATTCAAATGAATTATAATTCTCTATTGCTATGGACAAGGGTCTTCCTATTCTGTATGGTCACAGTTACGGTTTTATGGCTGCAGCAGGAATCATAATCCCATCTGCTCTTGTTGGCTGATGTCTAATGCTCATTGTGTAATCTTCTTAGTAATTGAACTTCAGCTGTTGCTACATAACAGGAAGCGTATTCTGTATATAAAACATTCACAGGCCAAATGCGGAGCTAGTGATCTGCGAAGTGGAAGCTGTGTGGAAATTTGGAAGCTCGTAAGAAGTACACACAAATCTGCTCAGTATTACACAAAGTTATCCATTTCTTTTTGGCATGGGAAAACAAAACATATTTGAGCTTTAAAATGTACATTTGGTACAGGACTACAAAGCAACATTTACATTCACAATGGAATAAGCACTTCACTGAAGTGCAGGTTGGAACTTCTGAATTAAAAATGGAGTTCACTTGCATGGGAAGTACAACTCTCTTAAGAAGTCGAGTTACTTCAGAACAAAATCATTTTTCTTAAAATAAAACAAAACAATGCAAGCCAAACATATCTGGTTAACCGCACTGGGAATTTGCAGGTTTCAATAAAACGCAGTAACTACATAAGGGGGAAAGAAGAGAGAAAAACGGAAATGTGGAACGTGATGTGCTAATTTATCACCTTTCTTAATTTCAGGAAAACAGTTGTGTTGAACCCCCCACTACCAGTGGAACATTCAAATGGAATGCCTTTTGCTTAAGCAAGCAAGGAATGGGAGCTGCCTTTAATCCGACGGGGATTTCACAATACTTCTATAGTAATAATAATCCTTGCATTTGATAGACGTCTCAAAGCGCTTCACAGAATATACTGTAAAATGAATTGACTGTATATTTTGTGGGTGAAATGCAGTAGCCAATTGCACACAGCAGTGTCCCACGAACAGTTATGGATTGAGTGATGAAATTATTCTTTTTTTTTAAAGGGGATTATTACCCTCGGAAAAGCGATCCGCCAATCGACTAATAACTGGGCTCCTATTTACTGCTAGGTAAACAGAGGCGTGTGGATTTGCCTAACGTTTCGGCCTGCCCAGGAATCGAACCAAGGTTCTCTCGTTTGTTAGGTGAGTGCTCTAACCACTAAACTACAGGACTCCACAATTTTTAACAGATCGATAAAGAACAGGTTTCAAGAATATGTATCAACCATGTTTTCTGTCCATGTGATAATTATCCCTGGTTATAATTACTATCATTGATAATTAGCACATCGTACACTTAATTTCCCTGTAGGTTTCTAAACCTTCCAATTTCTCTTCTGGTATATTTGTGATACTACCATATTAAAAAACATGTACTGTAACTGCGAATTCTGGCCCAGATAAACTCAACAGTAAAACAATGGTGAGATCAATTCTGAGACAGTCAGAAGGAAGGGCACAGATACTGAAAATGAACTATGAGAAAAAGAAAGGATTGGAAAATAGTCTTCTTTTAAAAAAACAAACAAATGTGATTTGATAGGACAACTGTATTACAAAAGTAAAAAATCCTCTGCTGTAAGAGTGGCAATTTAATTGAGCAAAGTGTTCTGCAACGCCATGAACACCACAGTTCTTGCTGAAGAGGAGGCTCACTTTTTAAATACATGATGCAGTGGATTCCAATTAACTTGCATTTCCCAGCTCAGTGAGATTCGAAAGGAATGGGCAGAGCCACCTCCAATTGTAAGTTTTTCATTGAGTTTCTTGAAACTTCTCCAGTGCAGTGTGTAACAGTTTCCGACAGCATTTGCTTTCAGAAATGTTCAAGCAGATCCAGAATTCTTTTCTGTTCAGCTTCTTTATACTCATCAGTCTTTCCATCTCCAATGTTTTCGGTGTATTCTGTAAAACAGATTTTAACAGAGTGAGGGGCAAGGCACTAACCATCCAGTTATTAACAGATCTAGCTACTATCCAGTGTTCAAATGTGCGGTGCGTGTTAAGAAATATAGCAGTAAATCAAATTGTTTTCAAATATATAATTATTAAACATTTACGAATGAATTTTTCAAAAATACCAACTCTGGTCATGAGATGAACAAAGCCTCAACATCAGTAGAACCAAACAGGAAAACATGTGAAGAGGCAATCACAATTGGAAATAGATTTACTTAAAAGCTTTTTTAAAAAAAGTCTTTGTTACAAGATACATTGCAATATTTTAATGCTGATTTTTGAAAATAATGAATATTGAAATATTCCTCAGAAATCATTGAATTGTTTTTCAATGCTTTTCTGTTAATGTAAACAACAGCTGAATAAATTAGCCTTAGAATTTATCATGAGGTAATTTGCGACACATCTGAAAAACATCAGCTAATGTATGATGGTAATTCCCAAGTTGATTTTCAAGTACACCAAGGCAGACACAAGTTCAAGGTTGTGAAAAGGAAGTGGAGGCCAGATTTCAGGAAGTAATTTACTTTACAGAAGGTTATTAATAGCTGGGCTGGGTTACCAGGAAGTGTAGCAGAGGCAAATAGATTGGACTCATTTAATAAGCAGTTTGATAATGAGTAATGAGAAGATCGTTAGTGGGGTTAGTATTCTCATATGACAAGATCAAATGGTGTTCATCTGAATCTCTTGTGATTAATAACCATATCAAAGATAATTTCAATTTCTGGTTGGTAATTAAATTGAGATGCTTTGACTCATATCAGTCTAAGTGTTGCCGTTTTTTCTTTCTGTACATTTCTGGGGCATTACATCAAGATTTTACATGAAAGCAGGATTTAAAACCTTAGTTTCCAAAGTATACAGATAGTTGGTTACGTTTTGTATTTTTTTTCCTATTTGCACTTGATGTGGGACCTTTATTAGTTATGTGGAGGAGGGGAAAAACACTCCTGATGGTTAACTAGGGACCTATGTTTTGTAATACTGAGGTGAACGCTTGGTACAACAGCCAGAACAATACTCACTTTCCTGACTTACAAAAAGGCCACTTGGCTAAAGTACTTGGCTGCTGCGATTTCTGAAACCATGCCCAAGCATGAGTCGTCTTTAGATTGGGAGTAAAGGAGAGCAAAATAGGAGAGAAAGAAAATGGTACTTCATGGAATTAATAACAAATATGCGTCAAATTAAATAACAAAATCCGATTTAGACCGAAACCTTTTCAAGTCTGTGTGTAATTAACATATTCTGATTGCGCAGACCTATTTTACAGGCATATTAATGAGCAACAATTAATGGAACTTCATGAAAAGCTGGATAGCAGAGAGGATGGGGAGGAAGGAAAGCAAGAAAGAAAGAAGGAAAGTAAGATACAATTCAGTGCCAAGAACTTTGGATGAAAATTTCTCCTCCCTCACTAATCGGCAAGTCAGCAATTAACGGATAGTTCCTAACTGTTTTTCAGCACAAAACTAAACATGTTACTATTCAAAGAGACATGAGGTTTGCCTGCTGTCCTGGACACCAATTCCCCAGAATAAAATTGGTTATTCATTTTGTAGTTGTTTGAGGGTTGTTGCTATGTGCAAACTGGCGGCCGGCTGGCTGTGCTTGCCTACAAATAGTCATTACACTTTACAGCAATTCCCTGTTAAATGTTTTATATTATAGGTATTATAATCAAATGCAATTAGTATTATGCTGATTGAGTAGTGCTCAAAGCTGCCCTGCCAATCGATTAACAACTGGGCTCACACTTCTGGGTAAACCGAGGCATGTGGAGTAAGGAAACTTGTCTCAGGTTTTGCGCTGCCCGAGAATCGAATCTGGGTCCTTTCACTTGCAAGGCGAGTGCTCTAACCACTACGCTACAGAACTCCAAAATATTCCAGTAAGACATTAAATAATAAATAAGCCTAGCTATTTAAACAAATCACATTAAATGCTTAACATGCTTTAAATTTTGACCTTAACTGAAAAGCTTCAGGAAGGAAGGTGGTTATAATTCTCACTCAAATGCCACTTCTTGATACCCACTGCTTAGTTTAGTCAGATTCAAGCAAGTCCTTCACAGAGATTTTTAACCTAGTGGAAGTGATGTTCAATCAGCAAGAGCAAACATTGAAACTTAAAATACATCATGGTAAAATGATAGTAGTTAATAAAATAAAACTTATGTTGGCATAACCAACCTCCTCTGAATTGACGTATTTAATCCCTTCCTTTGGGAATGGGGTGGGGGAAGAGGAAAACAAGACAGTCATTTGTGGCTAAAAAAAGTCAAAAGGTTTTCAGTTTGCAGAGCCGCAGCCATAGTGATGTTGCTGTTAAATTGACAGCTAGCAAGACAGGCATGAAGTCATCCGTTACTCAGCTTCACATGGAAGAAATCAACAAAGTAAGTTGATTATTCTAGTTGAATTGCCTTTACTTCAGTCAAACCCCAAGTTTTAAGAAGTTGAATTGTATTTTATCACTGAATTGTGTTCAAGCATGCTAACCCTCCCCAATCTATATCACTCCTTGTCTAGAGACAGTCCCCATGGCAGAGATGAGCTGACTACGGTACAGAAACTCACCGAAAATCAAAGTCAGCTGCACAGTAACTGTGATTTATCTCTTAAGGGAGATAGTGCCTATGGAACATATAATAATAATACTTGCATTTGATATAGCACCTTATCAGTTATTCAAGACATCTCAAAGCACTTCACTGAATAAACTGTAAAATGAATTGACTGTATAATTTGTGAGTGAAACGCGGCAGCCAATCACACACAGCAGTGTAACACAAAACAGTTGTGGTTTGAGTGACCAAATAATTTTTTCTAAAAAAAAATATTTTTGATGGGTGTATTACCCCCAGAAACACAACCCACCAATCGACTAACAACTAGGTTCCTAATTACTGCTAGGTAAACAGAGGCGTGTGGACTAAGGAAACTTGTCTATGCTTTCTCCCCGCCCAGCAATTGAACCCAGGTCCTCTTGTGAGGCGAGTGCTCTAACCAATACGCTACAGGCTTCCACATCTTCGAAGACCTATTTTACATCTATTGCAGGAAGTAAAGGTGGGAACGGTCAACGAATCAGACCCAAATAAATGAGAGCAGAGTAACCAAGATAGCAAGAACTGTACTACAAAGTCTGGTCTGTGTTAGAAATGGCTGTGTAACAGGACTGGAGATAAAGAGTCAATAATGATTGCTGTGACAATACAATCATATTTCTCGGCACGATAACTATAATGCTTCTAACATCACTGAATCTAGGCAGGAATCCCTACCACCAAACACCAGCAGCAATCTGAGATAAACTGACAGACGGGATAGATATTGTTGCAATTCAAGTCAAGTGATAGAACAGCAATTCGGTTGAAATGATTTCATTCAATCACAGAATGGGGTTATCCATCACTGTCCAGGGTAAGTGGTGCTAGCAAAATAAACTTAGCAAGAATTGAATCAAACCATCCTCCATCAGCATTTACTATATAAAACAGCAGGCAGGAGAGTATCTCAAACGAGAAAACACATCTTACGTCATCTTAATTTCTTGATGCATTCATTACTGTCTTGTAACACACAATAGGCTATCTCTTTTATATCCAATTAGGTATCCATTTGCAATGGTATTTAATGAGTAGATCTGTCAAGTGACACTATTTGATTGTGCTTATCAACTGAAATTCTGCATAGCATTAGTGGATCACATGATTGCACATCCTATGATTATAATAATAATCCTTACATTTGATATAGCGCCCATCACATCTTCGAGGCATCTCAAAGCACTTCACAGAATATACTGCAAAATGAATTGACTATATTTTGTGGGCGAAACACGGCAGGCAATTGCGCACAGCAGTGTCCCACAAATAGTCGTGGATTGGGTGACTAAATTATTAATTTTTTTTTTAACCTTTGAGGACAGGCAAGTTGAGGCACAGTTGGCTCTTCCACTCTGGTACATTCCTCTTTTTTAGACTGTATAATTTAGAATTTTCAGTAGCTCAAATGTAATGTGATTATAGTCAGGAGCGTAGATATAAATTAGAGGCACGAATTTAGGAAACGTAATGTAATTTAATATAAAAATGTTTCAACACAGGGTGTGCTTTGTGAATTTAAACAAGTGCATGATATATTGTAGGCTACAGCAGATTAAACTACATAAAAGCTTCAGACAATTATTACTCCATCAGGCTGGATGGAGTTGAATGGCCAACAACTTTTCCTTTGTTCCCTATTCAATTATTAATACCTAAACTGCTTGTGACTTGAGTACTGTTAGATTTCTTAAGGGAAATCTCCAGAACATAAAAAAGGTTATAATTCATAAATATTAAGTTACTTTTTAAGAACGAAAAGGAAGTTCTTCATTTTCCACTGAAGGTACAAAGGCATGCAATTTGGTGTCAGAGTTTACAACAGTCTCATACTCTGAAAGCTTTGATGGACCTTCTTAAAAAGGACTTGGTGATTCATGTCTAAATTATTTAAGCAATGTGCTGACTCGCATCACAGCAATGAGAGATGATCCAATAGAAAATTACATTTGTATAGCGCCTTTCACTTCGGGAGGATGTACCAAGGCGCTGATAGATGATAGATAATAGTGCTCAAAGCTGTCCAAATCGATATGAACCAGTTATACAATGTGAAGAAAACTAGCCACTCTATTGTTTGGGGATTTTGTACATCTAACTCATTCCTGCTAAGTCAGGAATGAGTTAAATTGTACATAAACCCCAAAACAATAGAATAATAAGCATTAGTACTAAGGAAAAAAATAATAATTCGGGATCAAACGCTAGGTGCCGAAATAAAGGAAGTCACTCAGCATCCGAAAGGAGGATAGGTTTTCTCATGCACATCCCTCAATAAGACAATTGAACAGTTTTTCATGAAGGGTCGTGCCCAGAATGACACCCTACTTTCCTC